AGAAAAAAATTGAGAATCTTTTTGCAACGTCAGAGTCATCCTTCGATCACAGGGCTTCAAAATCCAGAATATATTCTTTCTTTTTACCCCTGCGATAAGCAGTTACCATTTCCCCGATTAAGAACTCGCAATCTGATTGCGACAGAAATCATGTGTAAGTCATTGCGCATACTTAGATCACGTGATTCAGTTAAATCGGGCGCTTCCAAATTCACGGAGCCCATGTCAAGCTGCGCGCCTACTATGCACGCAGTTTGGAACTCTGACAAACTGCGCGCATATTTCAAAACGGAAGACAGGGAGGTCACGACTCCCAAAAAGAGCCAGAATACGAAAAATACAAGGCTAGTCTCGTTCTTAAGATAGTACCATTCTGTGAAGATGAACGTAATTTCAAAATTTACAGTGTTAAGTTATATTTATCTCCTTTTTTCGTTATTTGCCATTTATTCAGCCATTGTATCTATGTGTGCTAGAATATATAGGATCACTCCATCTTATTAAAGCAGCAAAGTTTGTGTTCAAAACGTTTTAAACATTATTTCCTGTCAAACTGCGCGCCTATATTCACATGTAATTCCCAAACTGCGTGCCTAATATTTCCAAACTGCGTGTCTATCCAATCTTTTATTGTATGATCTGATAAATGAAGCCCTCTGATTGGTTAGTTCTTGTGCTATACCAATCTGTATTGCTAATGAGATGGTTCCATTTGATCATCTCCGGAGCAATACAGAAAATATTGGTACGGAGGGGATAATCTCAGTAGCAATACAGATAATACAGAATACGTATTTCTAGGGATTATCTCCTAGGTAAAATGTATTGGCCTACGATCTACGATGAATGATTTGAAGTACAATGCAGGATATATTCTGTTAATGAATTTCTCGAACAGAATATATCCTGTATTGCACTTCAAAGCAATCAATAACTTATAGTATTTTCAGAAAACGTCAGCAACACTCCCTCTCCCGTTACCAGAAGAAGTCCGCAAAACTTGCCATGCCAGATACGAAGATATGCCCAGTGATTCTCTTAAAGCTCCTCAAATAATGACACCGCCTCCAGATTTTGGCAAAACAAATTGAATAAATGCGCTGTTAAAAAGAAAGACTTATAAAAATGACCAAAAAGGAAGCTATTTAAAAATACAAGAGACTCGTTCGAGAATACACTAAATATAGAATACTGTGAAAATATCCTCTCGATCAGATATCCTCTCAAATCTCAAGAGAAATAGTTTATTGAGCCATCCATTCATGAATCTCCTTACTCTTATTTCAATCTGGAAGTAAACGTTTTTTCCAACTTAATTGTTACTTAGTTCTATTATAAACTTTGACTTTCAATATGCAAATCTCATAAAATCTGACGATATAGCAGGATTTTCATAGCACCTACAGTACATAATATGTACTTTAGATAGTGTATGCGCGCAGTTTGTAATTTCTGGCTAAAATAGGCGCGCGGTTTGTGCTTTATTTCATTTTAATCTCCCGATTAACTGTTTTAACTCGAAATATTTTGAATTGTACATGATAACTGGGTTAGATTTAAATATAAAACTAGCTTTAGTGCCAGATCGATTTATGTATCAATTCCCATTAAATCGGTGACGAAAATGCCATTAATCTGCTTCAGTTTTAAAACTTAAATTCATTTGCACATAGTTTTTGCTACTTTTTGTAAGATTCATATATTCGCCACAGAATGAACGCATTAAACTACATTAAACAAGAAAGCAATGCAGTCTAAATGCCTTCAAATTACGTTTCAAAATACAGACTCCAACTTGAATGATGCAATGTTGTTAGGCACGCAGTTTGTGATCGAAACAAACTGCGCGCCTAAGTAGGCGCTCAGCTTGACATGGGCACCGTGAAATTGGTTATATAGGGGGAAGAAGGAGGTACGGATTCTTGACACCTGCTTAGGAGGATGCGTCAGAGTAACATTTAACTGAGCTGAATAATCAATTATATTCAGTCTTGTTGGATTTCTAGTCTGTACTCTACCAAACGGGCTCAAATTCTAAAAATTAAAGGGGCAACGTGGCCTATATAGAGAGAATATTCGGAAATGTTTACTTTTTCTGAGCTATCAGGGCAACATTTGGCTATTTTCTTAAATGCATGGATAAATTATCAATTTCAGCATTAAGAAGTGTAGATTCAGTTCAAAGCTTCATAAAGGGAGTCCCATATGGAATTTTTTCTGTCTCATTATTCGTATTTTTGCATTCTTATGGGTATATTCACAAAATGTATTCGTAAATTGAGCATTTGTATTAGTAAAACGTATATTTTTGTTCGTAACTTGAGTATATTTATGCAATGTTTGCATTTTTGTTTGTAAAATTAATTTGTTTCGTTTTTTCGTACATGCATGTGTTGCGTACTGAAGAAAGTCCTAAACATTTGTTAGTGTTAGTGACATATTTTTTATACAATGAATTTTTGGGTCTATTTTGTACCCGATATCAATGTTTTTGCAAATACACTTACGACGTTTTTAATACCTGAATGTTAAATTTAACAATGAATAAGTCCTATCTTATTTTTTAAAATTGTCGAATTTATTTTCTAAACAATGAAATATGTTCTCGTAAAAGTGCACATGTATTGTCCGTAAATTTGTATTCGTAATAGCACTTTTTATATTCGTATTTCATTGGTTTATTAAGATCACGTGACCGACAACGAGAATTCACCGTGAATGAAGATGGACGATAAGTTTTTCATATTTTCAGAATAAAATCATCGTTTTTTCACGTAGTGAGTCGTTATGTGGATGAGGAATGGATGAAGCAGATGTAGATACGAAGTCAGAAGCTTCGATAGATACGTTTGAAGATTTTATTAATCATCTTGAGGCAATCCTTGACCACTGCGAACGTTATTATGGCACAACAGATCCGTTATTGATTGAGAATACTATTTTACGTGTGGAGGATGTATTGTGGACTTTACGTATTCTACTGGATGATACAACTCAGCCCTACTCGAGGAGTGCATTCGAATTTCTAGACACTCTTATCTGTCAGTTTCAAAAGATTTTAACACTATGGGATGAAAACTGCAACCGAATCATCGTCAGTTAGGTATATCTCTATCCCAGGGCTTCATTGTATAAAAAAACCTTGATGGGTATCTTGGGCTAAGGTGGGGTACTTTTCATGGCATGGGGCAATGGACCCACATTTCAGTATCTGGTATTAGAATGGCCCCCAAATTATGGAACTCTACCTGTCGCAAGACTCATACCTGGCACAACCATCACTATGTTATTAAGTGTTTTTTAAGTTTCGCAAGGATCCTGCCATGACCGTGGTTGTGTTATCGTGAGAGCCATAAGGCTTTAGCATTACCACGGTCATAACAGACCTTGCAATATAAAATAGCATTGTCACGATTATACCAGGCTTTTAGGATAACATTATAACAATACCACGGTCATGGCAGGATCCTTGTCTCGCAATAAATAGCATGTGGAAATTATTATATCCTTAATTTGAGGTTGACCGGGTCTCTAACAGTTTTGGGAGATGTTTTATCTGAGATTGTAAGGAATATTTTGGTTGGTAAGTCAACTGTACACATTGCTTTCAATTTTGTCACTCCCTTTAGATATTTTTTTTTTGTAAAATCTATTTATTTCTTAACATATGTACAAAATGTATGCATTATATTACATAATTACAGTTACAATACAGAGTTAAAAAACTATTTACATTTAATTAAAAAATTTCAATAAATGTACCACCCTCTTAAGAATTAGGTTTTCATAATATATCTCTTTTCCTGTTGGTTTTACACCTAGACGTTCCAAAATGTTACATTCATTTCCAATCCAAATAGGTTCAATTTTTTTACAACTAACAAAAAATGGGCCATATTGTCATTTTCATCACTTTAGATATGATTCTTACTTGTGATATAATTCTGATTGTTTTTCCAGGTCGACATATCCCAAACCTGCAGTGTTATGTCAATGAATCACAAACTGGATATCCCGGTCGTCCATCTTATTTGTTTGAACCAGAACAGATAATACTTTTGAGGCAGCTGAGTAATTCTTGGGTACGAATTTCCAAGATGTATGGTGTTTCCAAATCAACAATTGATCGTTGTGTTGCAAAATTTGGACTGTCTGACATCACCCGATTTAGTGATATCAGTGATGAGAATCTTGATTCCATGTTAGGTATATACTTTTCTATGAGATAATGAATGGATCTAAAAGATATTACTGTCTTCATTAACAGAAAATAGTCATAATCCAAGATATAACTGTCTGAAATTGTTTGCTATAACCTACGTGCTCCTTTAATTGTCTAAACTTAACAAGTATTTTTGAGAGTACTCAGATGGATGGATATTTTATCACATGACCTACAATTTAAATACGAAACATGTCAAAATTCATCAACCATAGCTTTTTAGGAACGAAATTGGAAAATGATTTCGGAAATATATTGCTTTGTTTTCATCAGCTTCTTAATGCGTTGAAATTCTGTATCCATCATATGTAGGAACTCAACTATTTTATTTGGCTGGAATTTTTTCTGTTCTTTCACGAGTTGACTTTTCAGCATGTCGTTTTGCAAATACTGATACCCATACTTGCTATCGGGTTAATTCGGTTAGCGTATTCCCAAATTTCTTCTTTGAAAGAAATGGTGACACACTTTTAGACGGGACTTCCAAATAAGCCATTCCCACGCGGTCCTAACTTCGACCGTTAATTTGAATTTTTGACCTACCAGGTGCTTGAAAACCAAGGAATGCGAGTGTCATACTGCACCGTTCTTCTTCAAACTAACCATTAAAAGCAGAATAAAATTGCCTTTCTGTCGGTGCATTACTTTATTTTAAACAGTCCCTCGTTCTAGCAGCGTTTTGGTCCCCAGCTGTTAGAAAGCCTTCTTACAGCTGGGGACCAAAATGCCGCTGGAAATAGGGACTCTGTTGAAGAGAATAATGTACCATCAGAAAGGGATTTGCGTTATGCTTTAAATGGAACAAGTTTGAAGAAAAACGGTGCAGTATGAGACTCGTAATCCTTGATTTTCAAACATCCGGTAGGTCAAAAATTCAAATTAACGGTCGAAGTTAGGACCGCGTGATTTCAACTACTCGTTTGACCAAGTTGATGTATACGAAGGACGTTGTTTGTCAAGTTTAAGATTTTTTATGATTTTTTATTTATTGTAAGAAAGTACTCATAGTCAAATATATGAGTGTCTAAAATAATACAATACCACCATACCATACCTGGTACTTTGCTTCGAAAACTAATTGTCCCCAAGCTTGTTATTGTTTTTCAATAACAAAGAATATACATGACAATACATAATCGAGCCATAATTAAATAATTCAATTCATATTCAAGGTATAATATCCTTTATCCACTTTGAATGCGTCCATCATATTTGAAGATTAACATCCCGAGAAGCCCTTCGATTGGTTGAATTCAAATCTCCATATTTCAGCCGGATTATCCTTTGAAAGATACACCCATAATCCCGCATCGTGTTTGCGGAAGAGAAGTCCTTCCCAATTTTTTATTGTCCCTGGGATTCGATGGATGGTCTGCAAAGTATAATAATAACCATTATTCGTATACAATTATCTCGATATTACTTGTACATATGTTGTCCATCCACTTCCGTTCGTTCTTTCCCCAATTAGTTAGAGTAGTAACTGAGATAAGGATTTTATCGTTAAAGGGAAAGAATAAAAGTCATAAATGTCAATTATAAAGTTTCAAATACACTGAAAATACTTAGAGTCTTAGACTTGTCTGAAACCATAATTTTTTATGTTAGTCTCAGGATTTATGAATTTGAATTTTCAGACGTGTGAATTAGAATTTTCAGATAAACAATTGGCACTTACTACTGCCCCGGTGATCAGGTCCAACCCCACGAGAGACAGTACATTGTCGAACAACAAGTAAAGAATATTTTCATGAACCGTCATAGCGCCAACCTTTTCATCTTCTAACTCTCGGGGAACTTTAATCTTTTTTGCGTCTATGGTTTGCCGATCATGATCTACGGGGACGTAGAACATCATCAAATTTCGCGTTGGGCGAACGATAAAGGTACCGTTACCCACGATGGATACTGATGCGTTAGGCAGCAATGCCCGAGCCATGTATGTATCCATGTATGCCAAACTTTCCAACGAATTGCTGTTACCTAAATAAATAATAATGAGACCATATAAATCAATGGAGAGTAGGACCATAATTTGATAGGACCTCCTACCCTTTTACACCTGTACTTGTAATATGACATATGAATATTTCGCCGCAAATCATGTGCCCCATAAAGCTGATCGTAAACTCACAAATCAGTGCTCTAAAACGAATTTTTCATCCTTGGTCCAAGGGTATTTCACCTCTTTCCATAATTCTATCCTGAATTGAGTAATAAAAGAAGTCCTTTGAATGAAGGATGCGAATTTTTTGTTTCAGTTTTAAATTGTGCATGTTCATCCCTCTCCCTATACAAGATAGGTCAGAAATGAAACTGTTTTCACTGCATCAAATGTGGAATTTCTAGTAATTTCTAGACGTGCTTAGTCGGTCTAGGAACTCCGTGTATCTAGAGATTTCTAGGCGTGCTTAGACGTGCTTAGAGCTGGCGTGGACAGAGCGTGACTAGAGTCTAGAAATCTCTAAGCACGCCGTGGTTAGACACAAGACAAAATAAGTCGTTATTAAATTGCCATGTGAGATTTTGCGCTATATATGGAAACATTTAAATTATAATTTACCGCACGTGTTAATATTTCGTGTTTTACTTTAGCTAAATACGGGATATCAAATCAAAAAGAGTATGTTTTCACTTTATATCCGACTTGAGTCACGAAAAGTACATCGCAACATGACAACAAATGGTGAAAGAATTATTGGCCAGGGGATACAGTATTATTTTAAACTAGACATCTATATCGGCGAGGGGGGGCTAACTTATTCCTGGGGTGGGGTCACATTTGATATTTGTTCAAAAATCACACGAAAACTGCTCAAAATGGGGAAAGAATAATTGGCCGGTGGATGCAGTATTATTTTAAACAATACATTACTGGGGAGGGGGCTAACATATAGTTGAAATTACAGAATACGCTACCTTTTTGATGATCTATAAACATAATCTTGTCATAAACAACTACTGATTTATATATGTGAACGGATATTTGGTTTAAAAAGAAACTGAATATAGGGTAAAAATGAGGGAGACACGGACGTCGGAAGAGTGGGGATAAAATCTAATGAACACTAAGCTGAGACAGAATGAGAATCATATGTCTGGACTCACAAGATTTTCATAAACATATTTGTTGATTGCTCACGAAAACAAAAACAAATTTCAGGGTTCATTGGCATCACACAATATTTGCAAAATGGGGGAGTGCATTTTCCCAGGATTTAAAACAATGCTTTACTTTAAATGTCGCCCCTCATACTAGCATACGCTTTCTATCAGATTCAGTAGCACCCTGCCCTTGATATATTAATACATAGTTTTCTTGTACCCCTTTTCAAAAATACAACGAACTAAATACATAGTAATAATGATCTTGGAATTGATTGCGTTTTTGCTTCTTCAAAGACGGGATATCCCAAAATTACCTTGATTACAGCATTACGCTTTCAAGAGAGTCCATGATTGCAGTCTACATGGTCTATGGGCTATTTTTAATTCCTCGTTATTTTAGTTGTGTATCTTTGAATCTGATTATCATATACAATTAACTTTAACCAATTTTACCCGTTTCTTGAACTTCAAAACTGTCACATACATATTGGTGGTCCCTAATCATATTAGGACCAAAAACAAATAACATAATTAAAACTGGAAAACATACAATACATATTCATCATCTCATCTATTTCTCCGGTGTGTATCTCCCGGTAATCTTTATGCCTTGAGCCACCCCCCCCCCTCCTTACAGATACTTTAAATACACTTATTTTGACGCTACTTAATTTGACGAATTTGCTCAATTTCAAATATTGGCGGCTATTTAATTTGGCGGAATCAGGACTGAAGTTTAATTTTTGTCTATGTTTATGCATGGCCTATCAAAAGATTCTCTTGAAAGCCCATGGTTTATGTCATTAGGACGGGTATTTACTAAGATATTTTCTGTATTTCTTTTGGGATAATGTATGACATGTTGATGACATGCTCAGTTGACAGGAAAAGGGGCCCCACAAGTTTAATTTCTGAAGTGCATTTGACAAAAATTAAAACGGGAGCCAAATTAAGTATCTTCAGCTATATCAATATTATTTTGTATCTATCTGACATTATAATTTCGAAGAGAGATTCTCCCGGGGACATTCGGGATTTCGAACATAATAAACTTAATTCGAAATTGAATCTGAAATTCTGTCAGAATGGAATACATGGACCTGGTTACATGGTTTATCTTATTTTAAATGGACAAATAAGATCGCAGGGGCAGGAAACTCCCCCGTAGTTGACATTTTGTTTATATAAAAGGCATTTGCATTAATCCTTTTGATAACTTTCTTTCGTGGTTGGTCCCTTGACCCGAAACATTCTGGCTACAACAATACAATTGAATTTAGAGAAAAAATTGTGACTAATTGAGGAAAATGTGAATATACAATTTACAATTCAATACATAATTTGCACGATCGAGTCTTAGGTTTGAATTAATTAAAATGTCGTAAGCTAAGTGTAAACTTTTTGAAAAAAGCCTATCAAAAGACGAATTGTTTTTTGAATACTTTGCGAGGAAATCAATATTGATGTACCGTATTGAAGTCATAAACAACAGCTTCGAGATGTCAGCCCGAAGACTATCTCCCGGTTGCCATGTTTATCTCGGAAACTGCTGGTTGTAATCATAATAGGACACACGGCAAAAAATGTGTATCAAAATCCGTTGAAACCTGCTTACAGGTAATATATTTGTATTATCAAAAATACAATCTTGTTCTGACCTTCGTGAATCCTGAACATTTCAAAAAGGGCATATTTTGTATTCACCTTGACATAATGTACATGTAACTCTGTCTAGGTGATCTTCAGTCAGTGACAGTTGTAGAGACTAGTTGCAACTTTAAAAAGAAAAAAATTAAAAAGAAAAAGACACTAGTTGCATGCAACTGGTGATGTTTTCCATGGAAAGCCGTGAGCACGCTTTGCAAATGATCTCTAGCTGGACTCTCTCTCTCTCTGGACGGCAGAGGGGGGGGGGGGAGGGGGTGGGGGGTTGCGATGAGTGCGAAGCACCCCCCCCCCAAAAAAAAGCTTATAAAAATATAACCATTAGATAGAAGAAATGAGCTTTCAATTTTTTTTATTTGAAGTTTCAATCTCATTTTTGAAGAATTTTAAAAGATGCATCAATTTTTGTAAAATTCAAAATATGGGGCTCGCTTAATAAGTTATGCCACGATCGCACATCATGACACATCTCATTTCTTCTCAGTCCTGAGATGATGTATCAGGTGAAACAGAAAGATGCTATGAGTATCAGAATGGGATCGCACCACATGGGGAGTAGTTTCCAGAAAGATTAGAATATTGTGGATGGGGTAGCCTTGCCCAAGTCGTATCTTTTTCCTATCTTTATTTCTATTATTCAAGATCAGATAAGTAAAAAATACCGACTTGGAAAAGGCTAAGGATGCAGGCCTGTCAACTGTCCCGCAATTTGCGTATTTGTCACGCATTTGATGAAGAATTTGAAGTCACGCCAGTTTTTTTTGCGTGACAGAAAATGTCACGCAAATACGCATTTTACCTGGTAATTGTCACGCAAAAATATTTCTGTTGAATTTTTTTCGAAATATGTTTATGATACGGTAAAAATACGAACGTCGGAAAAAAACCGAACGCAATTTGTTCGGATTTGTCACGCGAATCCCGTATATGTCACGCATGTTCATTGGAAATTTTCGTACCTACCCCCCCCCCCTCCCGTTGACGATATCGCGAGCGTAGCGAGCGCGAAAAATTTGAGGTGATCAAAGTTTGGCAAAGGTGCTCAAACTTTGGCCAAAGGTGTTTAAAAGTTGGCCAAAGGTGTTCAAAATTTGGACAAAAGTGTTCAGATTTGGACTTAGGTGTCCAACATTTTGAAGTCACTCATATTAGGTGGTCCCAAGTTGACAGCCCTGAGGATGGGGGTGCAAGAAGGTATCCCGGCATAAATAATGTCAGATCAACATCCTAGATATAGTGATATCTGGACACCCCCTCCCCTATCTAACGGCCCTGAGATTCAAAGAGCTCTTTGAAAGTGTCCAAAAAATGATGAAAACTCCATGTTATTGAAATTTTGGCCAGGAAGAGTTCCAGCCCCCCCCCCCATCTACCCTTGGCTCTTACCAAGGACATGGAGGAAATTTAGGAGTCATTTTCAAATGCCCGATTACAAGATTACAGTGATTTATTTCCGCCCTTACATAACAGTGTTATTGGTAGGCAGAGGAAATCGAGTATGTATTGATCTAGTTAATTAGTGATTACAGATAGATTAAAGGAAAAGTGACTTGAAAGTGAATTCTGATTGTAATCAAAACTATATGAATTGATACTAATCGCACGGACATGGACTAGTATTTTGAATCATTTCATAGCCTATCCAACAGCAAGTGAAATCAAATGATCAAGCTACATTATTTATTGAAACTGAAATAAAGGACAATATTTTTTTTACTTTTTATGTTAGTCTCAGATGTTGCTTGCAATTTTTTTGAGTTTTTGACTCAGTTACCATATTCGGGTGGGGTAAATCTTTTACTTTTTACATTTAATATTGATCATATTTTTGCCCTCCGGCTACTGGGCAAACCCCGATTACTGGTACAGACAAATAGAGCCCAATCTAGAAAATAAAAGATGGAATCATTACCCCCCCCCCCCCCATACATTCACTATAATTAAGTCGTTGGTGAGATCGGATGTTTTTCAAGTTTAAGTTTATGCTCAATCCAGATAACATCTTCTTTATAATAAAAATAAAAAGTACTTTTATGTAGATATATATCTCCGATATCTATACATTTCCTGTAAGAATGTGGCAACGAAAATGGGGCAACAAGACCTGGGCCTAATGCATTTCTAGTTATCTGTTTTCCTGGTTAGTTTGTTTGACACAGAGACATGTTTGAAATGGGTAAACATTGAAATCGGTTTGTTTCAAGGAGGCT